ATCTTTTATTGCCTAAATGGGAACCCTTCATCAACCTAATATCAGCCTTAAAATATTTTTTTGTTACAATTAACAAGTGAAATCTACAAAACTCGATTGAAACACCCAAATGTTTATATTACACGTTTTACTTATTAAATTTCTGACAGAAAACAAACAAACAAACTAACAAAAAACTCTTTCCAATTCATAAGAATAAATTTACAGCATTTAGATTTTTCAGTGATGGTTAAAATGATTCAGTGACAGAGTGCTTTTAATTAATGCACATACATAAATACAAACAAATGGAGTTTAAAATGCATGAATTAATACAACTGGTTTTATAATTTTACTTTGAATGCAGCAGGGTCATCAGCAGGTGTAGATTACCCCTTCACAATATTAAATAATTCTATTTCTCATAAAATAAGCGTAAGTAATTACTGCAGAACATGACAATATTTTTTATATCTGATTAATCGTCAGAATAATCGATAGATTAATCGACTACTAAAATAATCGTTAGCTGCAGCCCTACCCTGACTGAAGATGCTGCTTTAAATTAATTTAATGGGAAACAAAGATGGATCTTAACAATCAAACGACTAAAGTTTCCTTCTAACCCCAAATCTGTATGAATCCATCCCTTCATGTAATCAAGTCTTACAGTCAGATGTCACACATCTTAATCTGTAATAAAAATATTCAGTGTTGCATGACTTTGTCATAAGTAATGAATGAACAGAAAGAATGAGGCTATGCTGCCCTCTGCTGTACTGATGACAGCATTACAGCAGAAGATTCCTAAAAACAGGAAATGTGAAACAAGTTGTCAAAGCTGGAGTCTAAAACAGCTAAAATGATCTTTATTTGTGGTCAATAAATAAATAAAATAAATAAACAAATAAATAAATAATGAGCTGCTGTGACAGTCCTGTGTTCACGACGTTACCTGAGGCGGTTCTATGAACGCCAGCCAATCAGACGAGTGTGTTGGAAGGAGCCCCATTGACTGACACTTGTAGATGGCCAGCGCCGCCCCCAGAAGGTTCCCGATSAGGTAGACCAGGCCCTGCAGCCACTGCTGACTGGAGCTCTCTAACAGCTTGAACGCTGGGCCGCAGGAAGAGACAGAGACCGAGGGAGGGCTGTCAGAAGGTTTTACACCAGGAGAGAGAAACAAACCTGACGGGTGGGTTACTCACTGGCTGACATGGACATGAGCGCCTGTATGGGTCTCCAGGCCATCATGCAGACCATCATGATGGGGAAGATGGAGATGGTGTTGCCTGACATGTACATGATGAACAGGTTCATGGGGATCTGCTTCAGGGGCCCGAGGGCCACGTCCCAGCAGCGCTGTGCATCACAAAGAGGAGGATAGTTTACACCAGATACACAGCTTCCTCTACAAGGAGGGCTAACACAAATCCCCCCACACACCCCTTAAATCAAGAAACTAGCTGAAGTGCTACACAAACATTTTTAAAAAGGCAGTTTTACAACTTATGAACATTTTAAAGACATCTATGTTGAAGATGGAATTGAAAGAATCAACTGAAAAGCATCTTTTAGGCGTGTACATACTGTAACTCTAACAAATATACAACTATTATTAGCAATTTACATACAGTATAAAAAATGTTTAAGTTGTCTAGTGTGACAGGGCCTTTATTACATTTGTGTGCAGCGTTATGTGGCCCTCCGAGGGTGTCGACAAAAACGGCAGCCCCTTCCATCATTTCAGCTGCCCACCCCTGCTCTAGCTCTTGTTTCCTTTTTTATCTGACAATCTTTCATTGCAGCCCATTATTATCTCTCCTCGATGCTTTTTGTTCTGAGCGTTAATCAGTTGGCTCACTTTCTCCACCAGGTTCTTGTCCGTCTCCTGGATGCTGGTGTCAGGAACCGGTTTCTCTGAGTAACCAATGGGGTAGACTACATCTCCCTGACCGCCCTGCCGGTCACGACTCCTGCAAGACAAAAGAAGCACAAACAACTTACCACCTATCAAAGACCACTTTTCCTTTTTATTTACTTTTATTTAAATCAGTGTTGACATGAAAAAAAAAAAGAGTAAAATCTTTAAAAGGATCCCTGATTAATTGTAACATTAGACTTTATTTGATAAACATATATTTTAACTGTAAAATAAAGACTGTAAAAATACTGTAGGCTGTTTAGTTTTGTAAATTTTTAAAAATATATTTTAACAAAAACAGAGCCATTTTATTTACATGCAAAGCATTCTGGGTAAATGACGACGTAGATAGGTCATCGGTGTGAGTGAGCT